TCTTTTTAAATTTTAATTAATTTTTTTTGTTTTTGGTGCCAAGGACTGAACCAGGGCTTCTGGCTTGCTAGGCAAGCATTCTACTACTGAGCCAAATTCCCAGCCCCTGCAATCTTAACAATAAGATTTTAGATGTGGAAGATGTCTAGCAATATTACTGGGAAACTTATGAAGAGTGCACCTAAATGCAAGTCACATGACACTAATTTTGTTTTCCTTGTTGGCCTTACAGAGGAATGGGAACCATTAGAGTCTGTGTTCAGGTTTGAGCCTACCTTGTGTGTGAAACCCTCATCAAGTTAGAAAAATGATCTGAGTTACAATAGAAGGGTTTAGGCAGCAATGATTAAAGCACATGTACATGTGGTAGGAAGAAAACATTTGTTCTTCAGGGATTTTTGCTAGGTCCAGTGTAATTACTTAACAAGGCAGATTTGAAGTTATAGTATCCCTATTAAATTAAAAAATGTAAAATATATCAACTTGGAATACAACTGAATGTAACTGACCCAAAACTCAAGTCAAAAGCACAGTAAAATTCAACAGGTATGAAAAGGAAGAGATTAAAAACCCAATTACTACTTTGGCATAGAGTGAAAACAAAAAGCAAACATAAACATTCAGGTTCAAGTTAACCAGAATATCAGGCATGTAAAGCAGGTTTTAAAAATATGACAATATCACTGAGCTGTATTAGCAGGGATGGTATTTTAAAAATTCCAGTTATAACCTTTTAAATTTAAGGGCAATGGGGAGAACCTTAAGCCTATGGGTGATTGGTACAAAAAACAAATAGGAACTAAAAAAGGAGTTAAGGTGGGAAATCAAGGAAAACCATGGGACTTAAATACATTCAAAATGGATTTACAACCTCTCTAAATCTATCCTTTTCAAAAAATGTTTCCTACAATAAGAATTTTGGTCAAAAGAGCTAGTGACAATGAAAGTGAAAATTTTACCTTACAAAAAGAAGTACTTTATTTAAATGTAGGTTAGAAATTAATAATTCATTTACTGACTAGGCTGTAGAAACTGAAACTTAAGTGCTACTGTCAGTGATAAACAGCAGAAAACTTTTTTCAAAAATAGAACTGCGATGGTAGCATTCAACACTAGTAAAACTATTAAGAAACAGGTTTTTAACTTTTGTATTTGAAGCCTAAAGAGAAAATACTTATATTTTTATTAAAGAAATCTAGCAGTTTAAATTAATGTGAAAAATATTAAAGCTATATTTAAGTTTTCTAAGATAAAAACAAGATCTAGAATGCCCTATTCTGGTATGCAGGCTAAAAATCAAATATTTAGAATGCATCTAGATTTCCCTAGACTATTTCTTACATAATATCATTGTCATCATCATCTTCATGTTTTCTCTTCAGTGGGTTTGATTCATTGGCTGTGTTCTGTGTTGAAACCATGTTGGTGGTAATAAGAATATTTTTGGATCCAATCATTGAAGGATTAATCAAAACGTTTTGAACTGTAGTTGTTGCAGGAACTGTAAACAGAGAAGAAAATTGCCATAAATTTTGAATTATCCAGAAGCTAAAACATATGGTCAAAAGTAAATAATAAAGCTGTATGTAAATCAAATGAAAGTATCAATGCAATGGCATGCAACTACGTCACAGAACAGTATTGGTGATCCTATGACATGCATGTCTCAGTGGATTGCATCACTGAAAGCTAGAAAAGGCTTGCCATCACTGTCATAGAACACTGGTAATTATATTGCATTGAGTGTTTTAATTAAATTTTAAAATATTTATTTTATTGAAAATTAATATTTTTAAATCATAGGGTACGTATTGATATATTTGATCTATGCATTCAAATCTACTTAAATGTATCTAATACAAAGTTAGAGAGGTTTTGTTATATTTCAACTACCTGAATTTTTTTTATTCATTTTAATGAGAAAATTGCAATGAAAGTTTCAAAACAGGTCAGTAGGACAGTTACAATAATTAATACATTGCATATTGTTGTCTTCATAGTGGTTATTCAGAGGACAAGATGAAGACATGATATCTTTTTTTTTTCAGAACCAGGGATTGAACTGAGGCCCTTGTGCTTGCCAGGCAAGTGCTTATTCTACTGAGCTATCTCCCCGGCCCCAGATATGATATCTTGTATCTTGTCTAAACAATATTAGTAAACCTTTGAATTATCCAGAAGCTAAAACATATGGTCAAAAGTAAATAATAAAGCTGTATGTAAATCAAATGAATTATTAGTAAACCTTTCTTCTCATTAAACTAAGAGAAGTAGCTATATATATATATTTTTTTTTTTGTATATACACATATTTTTTTTCACTATGAAATGGTCCTTTATTTATATCTCCTTTTTTTGTTTTGTGTTGTAAGAAATAGGTGTTCCACTGCTCTTAGAGAAGCTGTATTAGGAGACGTCTTTAAAGGACCTTTTCATACTTGATGCCAGTTAAAATACTGTAGGTACCTGAATTCAGCAAAATAACCCAATATAGTGCAACAGTCCATAAAAGTAGTGAGTTATCAGCAGAACTGGCAATGTCAGAAGTTGTTGACTTGAGCCTTTTACAGCTCAGCATATTAATATGGTATTACTTTTTATATCTCGTGGTTATACTTTTCTGCTAGATGGTTAAGATCAAGTTAAAGCAAGATCTATATAACAAAAAATGTAACTTTTGTATCTCACAAGGTCAGTCAGATACCCTCAGTATTTACCCTGAAACCATGTACAGCACCTTGTAGATCTTTTGTCAGTGTCATCACTATCTGAAAGTTTAATTAGTACTTAGTACACTGAATTCATCATGGAAATATACTAAATGCACATGTTTAAGGTCAGGAATCATGTTTCCTGTATAGGCTGATATATTTTAAGTTGTCCACTGTATGCACTTGGGGTTAAAAAGATGTAAACATATACATCAGTAAACTATGCTACACCAGAATTTTACTTAGTATTATTCCAACTATGTGTACATATATTTTAATTTTTAATTTTTAGGTGGAACCGGGGATTGAACTCAGACTCTTGAGCTTGCCAGGGAAGTACTTACTCTACTGAGTCATCTCCCCAGCCCCAAAATTCTGCTTTAAAGTCCCTTAAACTTTTTTTTGGCAGAACCGGGGATTGAACTCAGACCCTTGTGTTTGCCAGGGAAGTGCTTATTCTACTGAGCGATCTCCCCAGCCCCCTATATATTTTATAGCTACATGTCCTTCTATGAAGTGAATAAAGATACACTTTCAGTTGAATTTAATTTACATTCTGGACCACACACATATTTGTGAAGCTGTATGATTTTCTTGAGCTTTTACCTTAAGTGCTTTTCCTTGAAGATGCCTTATATTTGAGGACCCTAATACTTTTCAGTTCATAGCATTCTTTGAAAATTTGATGAACATGTTGAATACTCTCCCTTCTCCATGAAAATGTTATATACATGTAAAACTTGATATAATTTTAGAATACTGATTTACAGCATTACTGCTACTTTCCTAGTGCAGCTTAAAACAATTTAACCTTTTTGATAAGAACACAAAATATTATAATTGCAAATTATTTACAAATTCTGCCCTGCTTATCGTATTACCTGGTTTGACAGGTGTGGACTGAGAAGATGGAATCTGCACCGTAAATCTTTGGCTTGTCACTGACACTGGAGTTGCAACTTTATTTGGGACAGACACTGTTTGTGGGGCTGCTGTAGTTAAAATTAACAGACCATGTTAGATGACTTATTATATACATTTATATTCTACATACCTTAGCAGAAATCACCTTCAAAACACTGCAAACTCAGTGCAGGTGACAAAGTAACACTAAAAGCAAGGGCAAAATGATTTTTCAGGAGTTCAAAAATTTATTTAGATGCTACAAAATTGATCTAGGGATGTGGCTCAGTGGTAAAGCACTTGTTTATTGGCATGTCTGAGTTTCTGGGCTTCATCTCTAGCACCACAAAACAAATGAAGAAAACCTGAACATTCAGTACAGTGTGATGGTAAAACATGTAGGCTCTGGAGCCTATTTTACTTGAGTTTGAATCCAGGCTTTATTATGGATTAGCTGAGTTTCTTGGGGAACTATTTAATCTTTTTGCACCTCAGTTTTCTTATCTGTGAAATGGAGACAACAGCACCCATTTTATGAAATTCTTGTTAGAGTTAAGTAAAAATAACTCACATAAAGCTCTTCAAACAGCATCTAGTAGAGTAAGCACTAAATTTTATTTGTACAAAATGATGAAGTTGGGAGATTAATATGTTCCTACTGGCTTGAACCATTGGCAGTACATCCATGACTCTTCCAGTAGGCAGCATTTTAAGTCGTTTTACTAATAAAATTAATTGCCTAAATCTAGTTAGTTTCTTGGATTTGAGTAATTGTGCAGAACTATAAATATTAATACTATTCATACCAATTAATGTTATAACAATCAACAGATTTCATCATATTAAAAGAAATTTATTTATGTTCACAAATAATTTATTAATAATTAATTCTCTAAATTTTTCTTTGAGACAGGTACTTGTTAGGTAGTCCAGGCTGGCCTTGAACTTGTTTATGTAGACTAGGCTGTCATCAAACTCAGTGGTCCTCTTTCCTCAGCTTCCTAAGTGCTGGGATTTTAGGCATGCACCGCCAGGCCTGGCTTGATCCTCTAAATTTTAAGCTTGAACTCTTACAAGTACACCACTGCTGGTGTATATAATATGCATTTATAACTTCTATATCATAAATTAACTATATTATAATTTTTATGCTTTTTTAATGTTTTCCTTAAAGAACTGTAATATGATGACATTAAATCATGTTAAATCAACATCTTTCCTTGCATTAAAGTAATCAAAGATCCCCTGAGCAGCAGTATAAGCTACTTGATGGGACAGTTACATGTGTACCACCAGTAGTTTAGGCTGGCAAGAACAATCAAATTGAAATCAGAGCTGCCCCAGGCAAGTGCCATATGAATTATAGTTCTATCAAGAACATGTTAAACTAATAAAGACTCTCAATGTCTACTAATTACCTTAGGTGTCCCTTTTATTGTTGGACACTTGCTGAGAATTATATACCTATTATGCTTATGAATCTAAACTAACACGTATTATAGGTGTGTAAACTCAGCAAAATATGTGTTAGTTTAGATTCATAAATTTGTTGAAACTGTACTTCCGATTTGATTTGAAACTGTCTCATTGCTATCTGTTTATCAATAAAACTCTGAAAAAAAATAAAAAAAATAAATAAAAATAAACTAACACATATCTAACCAAAAGAAGCCAATCAAATAGACTTGCAATTCCCTGGGTGAGCATAAGAAATGTATTCCTTTTTTTATGTTCAGAGACTTTTTAAGCAGAAAAGGATCTTGGAAATAACCCAGCCCAAAACCCTCATCTAAATTCTATTCCTTATATTTATTTTTGTGGTGTGGGGTATCAAACCAGAGTCTTGTATATGCTAGGAAAGTGCTCTACCACCGAACTGTACTTCCAACTTCTACTCTTTATTTTAAAGCATGTCTTAAATAATCATCATATTTTATAAAACTTTGCTTGATTTGCTCAGTTAAGAAAGCTCATTTCCTGCCACTGAATTTCCATTAACACATCACAGGAATCTTATTAGTATCATATCTTACTCACTGGCTTATAAGCCTTGGCTAACATTTTTCATCCTTGTGAGCACAGGCTCTTGTGCCCTGTTCTTAGCAGGCACTTAACACATGTTTGTATAATGAATAAGCTTGTGTAATGAATGATTTTTGCAAAATTTAGTATCTATACTGTCATTGCCCTCTCAAAAATATTTATGGAAATGTGTCTAAGTATACTATTGGGAATGAAAGCTTTCTTTCTATACATATATCCCTTCTTCCTGGAACTATTCATCTACACAGACACAGAGTTGCGAAATACAGTGTAACTAGTACCATCTCTAAGGACAAAGGGGAAAGAAAGTCCAAAGGAACCCAGACATCTGTGTTCCCATGATTTCTTTCTTGAATCCACAAGGTGGTACCTTACCCTAATATATCTCCATCCCAGAGAAGTTTTCCCATGTCTTAAGTGGTCCAAATAATTTAGTGAAGCTTAATGAAGCAATATAAGTATTTTATTTGGAAAGACAACAATTATACAGTAAGTAGATATCTTCCTGGCCATTATCTTAATAAACTGTTAAACAGATGTGGAGTTAAGGCTTTAAATTTGAACAGAATAGATATGCAGATCTAAAATTAGTTCTTAATTTTTTAAGTGTAAATTTTACATCTCTATTAGTTTTTGGTAGCACCCTTACTTTAGACTTTAAAAATCTCTAAAGCATATAGAACAAAAAACTATGAATAAAAATCACAACTGATAACTGAAATTTGTTAATTTGCCTAAAACATGTAACAGATTAGGGCAATGGTAGAGAACCTATGCCATGTGTGCCACAGTGGGCATTTGTTATCACTGAAAGCTCAAAAGGATTCCACCATCACTGGACTAGGGGTTTAAAAACTGATACTGTCAAGCATGCTGGCACATGGCTACAGTTATAAACTATTTGGAAAGCAGGGGCAGGAGAAACACTTGAGAGCAGGAGTTTGAGACCAGCCTGAGCAACATAGTGAAACCGTGTCTCAAAAAAATTTTAAAAAAAGGTACCTAACATGAATCCAGAGACAAGTGGCATATGATAAAAATTTAGATAGAAATGTATATCTGATTCTATATCAAACTGGTTTTTCTTGATCTTATTTTTGTGGTACCAGGGATAGAACCCAGAGCTACAGCCCCAGCCTATTTTAAAATTTTATTTTGAAACTAAGTCTTGCTACTTTGCCTAGGCTGGCCTTAAACTTGTGATCTTTTTTTACTTTAGTCTCCTGAGTAGCTGTGACTATAAGCATGTACTACTGTATCTGGCTCTAGGACAGGTTTAAAGTGCTGAAATGAAACTTATATCCTGAGAACAAGTGAATGTAGTTCATTCCTCAAAAATCAAGTGCTGGGCCGGGATGTAGCTCAGCAGCCTAAGTGTCTGCCTGGCAAGTGCAAGGTCCCAAGTTTGATCCCTGGTACCACAAAAAACAAACAAAAAATCAAGTGCTGCTTGTATTAGTAGTATAACATGGCTATAGGATTCAAGTTGCAAGTAGCAAGATTTATAAAATGAATACTAGTGAAAGAGAAGTTTTTTTTTTCCCCTGAAAGTACTTTGATGTTTTGCCCCAAGAAACCCAGCAAGAACAAATGAAGATCAAGAAATCTATGGGCTGCCACATAGCTCAGTGGACTGGGATTGGATCCTGGGTGTGCCGTGCCTGCCCCATCCCTGGGGTGCATTGAGACCAAGACTGACACTGGGCACGGTGGCACGCGCCTATAATCCCACCACTTGGGAGGCTGAAAACAAGAAGATCATTATGAGTCCGATCTGCATAGTGAGACCCTGGAGACCCTGTACTAAATACATTAAAAAAGGAATCTAATTACGTTTTTTCCTTATTCAAACAACGACATTAATAAATAATGGTCTTTTTTCTCTTTTCCTTCTTGTTTTTTTCAGTACTTGGAATGGAACCCAGTGCTTTCATACTGAGCTACATCCCCAGGCCTTTTTTATTTTCTGACAAGGTCTTCTTGTGAAATTGCCTATGCTGGGGTCAGTCTTACAATTCTCCTGCTTTGCTTTTCCATAGAGTTGGGATTATAGGCATGTGTAATGCTGTTTGGCTTAAATAATGCTTTTTTTTTTGTGGAACCGGGGATTGAACTCAGGCCCTTGTGCTAGCCAGGGAAGCACTTATTCCACTGAGCCATCTCCCCGACCCCTAATAATGCTTTCTCAATACCATTCTCTACTAAAAGGAACCGGGGATCTTGGGGAAGTAGTTAATTGTAGGACTAGGGCTTCAGGAAAATACCATATAAGATAGAACTGGAACATTTTGTGCCAGAAATCAGAAATGTTCAAACTCTTATGGAGATCTATCAAAAAGGATACAGAACATAGTTTGATGAGGCTTTCCCTGACCAAAGTAGGATGATCAGGACTTTTTTTTCTATGAGTTCTTCCTATGTTGCCCAAGCTAGTCTCCTACTGTTTAAAAATGGTTAGTAATGAGAACAAATTATATCTTGAAGTCCTTAAGATTTTTCATTTTTTCCTTTTGAAAACTATTCCCATTTTGTACAGAAATTTCCAATAGGTATGTTTGGCAACTGCATCTATATAAAAGACAGACCCAATACAATGTAGGGTAAACTCGTTTCTAGTATCATAGTTAATACCAAAAATGGTCTGGGCAATGTCCAATTTTATACTCATTTGTGGTCATACTTTTTTATTCTTTTTTCTTTTTTTGGCGGAACTGGGGATTGAACTCAGGCCCTTGCGCTTGCCAAGGAGGCGCTTATTCCACTGAGCCATCTCCCCGGTCCCCTCATACTCTCTTTGTAGCTTTCTCTTTTTCCTTCTTTTTATATATTTGGTACAGGCTCTCACTATTGAGCTTGGACTCAAAGTGATCCTCCTGTTTTCAGCCTCCCTAGTGCTGGTTTCATAGGTGTGCTCCACCATGCCTTGCCTGCTTTCTCATTTTCAAATTCAGGTAAAATGTAGTTTTACTAGAGGATGACATACAAGAATTTCCGACTCACTTTTTCACTTGGATTATAATTCTAAGCTATAAAATAAAAAATTCTAAGCCATGTACTGAGGTACCTCTTCTTTGCCAGCTAGAAAAGCTATTTACCACTATTACTTACCTACAGTGGGAGTGGTAGGTCTGCTACTAACAGCACCAACACTTAATCGTGGAACTAGTCGTCCTTGATTAGGTCCCTAGGGGTTTTAAAAGAAAAGTTAATTCTATTAAGATGACATTTCAACTTAACCAAGAGTAAAATTGTCAAGAATGTCTCATTTTTGTTCTTTCAGTGCTCTAAATCCAATATTTAAAGTACTGTTTTCACAAACATATATACATATAATAGCTATTGAAAATTAGATCTGAGTCCATCTAACTATAGCATTCAAATTGGAGTTTTATCTGAATGGAGATAAGAGCTAACTTCTTTGTGATTTTTAATCTTCACTAATTAACATCTTAAGCCCTCCCCCCAAAAAATTTCTTCATAGTACAGAATTTCAGAAAACAAAGGCAGCCTAACATAAGGAAAATTTATTTTTTGGTTTTGGGAGAGCCTTAGGTCGTATCTAAGAAAGCAGGCCCAACTTCTAAGGGTATATCATTTAGTCTATTATCAGATATCACTAAAAAACTATGACATAATGGAAATACTGGGAGTTATGAGGCTGGAGAATCAGGCCTAGCTTTTCCATTCATTCCAAATATCAGTTCAGGCTCAGTAAACTGAAGTAAAAGATGTATACTGGGTTAAATGAACATTCAAGTTCCTTCTCCTCTAAAATGTTTAAAAATTTTTAAGCTTTAATCTCCTGCAGTATCTATAGGAATTTGCTTTTTATAAATTTCCCTGTCATGTCTCTTATTTTTTAAAAATGAAGTTGAGCAAAGATCTTACCTTTTTAATTAAGGACTTCAGCCTATAGTTTGGAGCTGTTAAGCAGTATCTATCAGGTGGTAGTCTAGGTCCTGCATATGGCTTGATAAGTGGCAAAGGTGTTTGATTTTTCTGCCTTGCAATATCCAGTAAAAACTAAGGGGACAACAAATGCTCATTAGAACTACAACTTTAAAAACTGCAAGTAAAATAACTTCAAATAAATGTTTGCTCACATCTCGTGGGGGAGGAGAGGTAAAAGACTGGTCAGCACGACACTGGATTGCCAGTCTGACATCATCTGCATCAACATTAGGTTTCTTAGCATGGCTTGAATAAATTTTTGCATCATCAAGAATTGTAGTCACATATCCTTTAAGAACAAAACAATTTTTTCTTAAACATATGAAGGCAACTTAATATTTGTGACCAGTTAACTTTAGTAAAGGTTCCACTAATACCAAGAAAGTTCATGAATTTTGATTTTAATGACTAATTGTCCTATTCATCTTTTATTTTATTTTGTATTTAGTACAGGGTCTACAGGGTCTCACTACATTGGTGGGACTCGCAATAATCCTGTTTGCAGCCTCCCAAGTGCTGGGATTATAGGCGTGTGCCACCACACCCAGTCTCAGTGTCTCAGCATGACCCCGGGGCGGGGCCGGCATGGCAGGATGGGGATCTGAATCCCAGCTGCTGCGGTCTGCCTAAGCAGTCACTTTAGTCTGCTGAGCTATCTGTCCGCGAAGGATGAGATAGCTCTTATCATTTATTTTAAGTAGGTATATTGTAAATACTACTGTCCCATAGACCCAGCTCCTTTTTTAATTCTTTATTTTTATATAATTAACATAATTTGCTTGAAAATGTCCTTACGACAAAATGATCTTTTCTAATGCACAAGTTTGACAAGTTTTTATGAACTTACGGAAAGCAAATTCCAACATTTGATTTATAACCCTTGGTTCATACTCCGTGATTCCCATATCTTTCAGGATCTGCGCCATCACCTGTGGATTCAAATAAAAATGCCAGGGGCATAACCTAGGTACTGGATACCAAGACTGGACCCAAGACTCCTATCTGTCCTTGTTTTCCCACGTGCATGGCAATGATCACAGAAATGAGTTACAGGCTCTCACTTAAAACTTTATTTATTGATTGATTTGCAGAGGGTGGCTTTCCCGGTAGAGGTAGGGGTGGCTCCAGCTGGTTGTCATTTTCGGATGTGGCCGTGGGGGAAGCTAGCATCACAGCCCCAGGCGGAGGCCGAGGGCTCACAGATGGGGCAAGACGACGAGGCGACGGCCTGAGGCCCGGGACACAAAGCAGGGTGCCCGGCCGCGCAGCGCACCCTACACCCGAGACCCTCTAGAGAGGCTCCTCTGCGCCGCAGGTCAGACAGTGCCCCGGGGCCACGGAGAACCCGCAAGAGCTCTACTGTGGGCCATCCCCGCTGGGTTCACGTGGATACACGCCTACTCTCAGGGACTCTCCCGGTTCTGGCTGCCGGGTTCCTGGCCGTGGTGGGCTTTCTTCCTGTCTCTCATCCTTCGCACTTACCAATGCATCCCTGGGAGCGTTCTTAGGAGGCGCCATCTTACCCGACTCCATGTTACCCGGCTTCCCGTCAGCTGCGGAGTGCAGCTCGCCGACTCCTCGCTCAGGCTCCGCCCCCAGCGGCTGGGGCGGGGTTACCCGGCGGCCCGCCTTTTGGCAGCCGCTGCGCAGCAGTTTCCCAGCTCTGCCTGGTGTGGCCTCTGGGAAACCCAGTTCTCTGAGAGCCCAGGCTTCAGGTATCTGGCGTCCAGCATTGGACAGAGCGGGGTCTGGCGAGGATGATTGGAAGGGGAGTGTAAGCCTTCCTCTGGGAGGTGTGCCGAGGGCTAAGGGATGTAGAAGAGTAGAGAAGTTTGTTTTCCCAAAGTGGTTCTTCAGTGAGATCCACAGAATAGGCTACTCTCATCTTGGCTGGGGTGCCTCCTCAGAGCTACCACACTGGCCCAGTCCAGCTCCCGTAGATTCCTGCAGGGCCCATTCCTCCATGTTAGGACTGCCAGGTCAAGCACAGAATACCCAGTTACATTTGAAAGTCACACCAACAAGGAATGCATTTTTCTATAAGTGTATCCCAAATACTACATGGACAGCACTGGTACTTACATTGCAAAACTATTTGTTGTTGATCTGACATTGAGATTTAACTGTGTATCCTAGATTTTTATTTGATAAATTTGACAACCCTACCCAATAGCTCTGCAGAGCCAGGACTTCAATCAGTGGAACTTAGGTCAGTTGTCATGTTTTGCAATCTGTCATGGATGGCCATTTTATTTTATTTTTATTTTTTTTGCTCCGAATGCCTTCAGGGCAGGTTTGGCTGGCTTGAGTTGTGGGGATCGAACCACAGCAACCTGAGCCTGACTGCTTTGTTGAAGCAGCCACTTAAAGAACTGAGCTAAGGGGCAGGCCCCCCGATGGCCATTTTATATTGATGGACAGCCCAAACGTTTAATTGCCTTCAAGTTTCTACCAAAGGCACACTCGATCTCCCATATGTCTCTTACTCTGGGTAGATCTGTTCCCACTGAGGCCCACATAGTGCCCTTCTTTGCCTTCCAGATGGCTCCTGACACATTTCTGCTCAGAACAGCATGAGTAAATTTCTTGAGACCCACGCATCCAGCCCGAATTACTTTTTTATTTTATTTATTTATTTATTTATTTATTTATTTATTTTGAGAACAGGGGATTGAACTCAGGCCCTTGCACTTGCCAGGCAAGCACTTATCTACTGAGCCATCTCCCTGTCCCTGAATTACTTTTTTTTAAAAAAAGCATCAGTTTATCATTTCTGGCTTATGTTCAGATTTTTTTGGGGAGGAGGGGATATTGGGAATTGAACTTAGGACCTTGTGCTTGCCAGGCAGGGGCTTATGCCACTGAGCTACTTCCCCAGCTCCAATTTCTGGCTTAAAATGTCCCTTGACTCAGTTTTTTTTCTCTCATTGCTGGGAAAAAAATACCCAATGCCCAAAATTAAGGAAGGAAACATTTATTTAGCTCATAGGTTTCAGTCTATACTCTGCTGACTCTGCTGACTCCAAGGCAGAGTGACACATGGCAGAGGGCAGCTGCTCATGGCGGCAGAAAACATCAAAACAGTAGGAGATTTTATATATTATAGATATTAGTTCTCGGGGCTGGCGAGATGGTTCAGTGGTCTAAAGCACCTACTTGGAACAAGCTTGGCAAAGCACAGGGACCGCGGTTCGATCCCCCAGCACCACATGCCAGCCAGCCACGCCCCCTGGTGGGCTGAGCTGGCCACACACACACACACACACACACACACACTAAATAAATAAACTTAAAAAAATAATAATAAAAAAAAGATATTAGTTCTCAGGCTGAGGAATAGCTGGCAATTATTTGCTCCTCTCTGTATATAGTCTTTTCATTCTGTTGGTTGTTTCCTTTACTGTGCAGAAGCTTTTAAATTTCATAGATACCATTTGTTGATTTTTTTGGTACTATTCAATGTGATACTGCGGTTCTGTTTAGAAAATCCTTACCTATAGCTATGTCTTCAACCATTTTACCATCCAGCAGGTTGTTTCTATATGTATATATTCATTTAGAGACAGAGTATTGCTGTGAGTTCAGGCTGGCCTTGAACTCACTATGTAGCCCAGGCTGGCCTTGAACTCTTGGAGATCCCTCTGCCTCAGCCTCCTGAGTGCTGGGATAACAGGAATGAACCATTGTGTCTGGCTACATTGTTTCTTTTTCTCAGGACTTTGTGCTTGCCAGGCAGGAGCTTATTCTATTGAGCTATCTCTCCAGCCCCACATTGTTTCTGTTTTAATATTTATATCTCATTCCATTTTTATTTTAGTCTAGTACAAAGTGAAAGTTATGGGTTTAGCTTTAATCTTATGCAAGTACATAGCCAGTTTTCCTAACATTATTTATTAAAAGGCTGTATTTCTTCAAAGGATGTTTTTGGCCCCTCTGTCAAAGGTCAGACAGCAGAATTTGACTAAGGATGTTTGTGTATCCTATATTTTGTTCCATTGATCCACATGTCTGTTTTTGTACCTATACTATGCTGTTTTTAATCAGTGTAACTTTGTAGCATAACTTGCAGCTTGGGATTGTAATGTTTCTTGCTTTTCTCTTGTTGCCCAGGATTACTTTTGCTATTTTGCGTCTTCTGGTATCATATGAACTTTAGGATTCTTTTTTCTACCTCTGTGGGGAATACTGTTGGTATTTTTATTGGGTTTGCATTAAAATCTATACATAAATTTTGGAAGTATAGCAATTTTCAAGATATTTGTTGTGCCTATCCAGGAACAAGAAATATCTTTTCATGTTTTGATGTCTTCTCTTTGATTTTCAGAATATTGTAGTTTGCATTACAGAGGTCTTCATTTCCATTGTTGGGTTATTTCCTAAATATATTATTCTTGTAGTCATTGTGAACGGTATTGCATTCTTAATTTCTCCCATAGTGGGTTCATTATTGGTGTATGGGAGTGCTGTAGATTGTTGTGTGTTAACTTGTATCCTGCTTATTTATTTATTTTTAATTTAGGACAGGGTGTACAGGGTCTCACTGCGTAGATTGGACTCGTAGTGATCCTTCTGTTTATGGCCTCACAAGAGCTGGGATTATAGGTTAGCGCCACCTCACCCAACCTCAATTGCCACCTCAGCACACCCCAGAGGCAGGGTGGGCACAACAGGCCTGAGGATCAAACCCTGGCCCCTGTGCCTACTTGTAGGTGCTTTAATCCACTGAGCTATTTGGCTGGCTCTTTCTTTCTTTCTTTCTTTCTTTCTTTCTTTCTTTCTTTCTTTCTTTCTTTCTTTCTTCTTGTTTTCTTTTGACATTCAGAAACTTCTCAATAGGATAAGATCCTAGTTGTTGATTCTTTGAAGTATTTCCTGTGCAGTTTCATTTTTTTCATGAACTCTCTGCCTACCCCTATGTCTTCTAGAGTTCCTTCTCCTTTCTCTTCCAGGAGATTTAGTGTTTCTGTCTTAATATTTAGAGCTTTAATCAATTTTGACTTCATTTTAGTTCATGGTGATAGACCCCAGTCTAGTTTTAGCTTTTGTCATGTGGTGAGCCACTTTTTCCAGCACCATTCGTTAATGAGGCTATCTTTCTTCCAGGGAACATGTTTGTCCCCTTTGTCAAAGATAAGATGGCTGATTGTGTTTGTAGTTGTATCTGCATCTTCTAATCTGTTTCACTGATCCTCGGAGATATTTTTTTTTTTTTTGTTAGGACCATGCAGATTTTATCACGGTAGGTTTGTAGTAGAATTTCAAGTTGGGGATTGTAATGCCTTCTGCCTTGCCTTATTTCCCAGGATTGGTTTTGATATTGTAGTTATTTTCTGGTTCCAAATAGTTGCCTTGTATGCTTATGATCTTTTTAAAAAATTTTACTATATTTTTTTTTTGGTTGAATTGTTTTTCAGGGGAGGTTTATTTGTTTATTTTAATTTTTTGTTTTTGGTGTGGAGGACTGAACCCAGGACTCGCAGCTTGCTAGGCAAGCATTCTACCCCTGCACCAAATCCCCAGTCCCATCTGGTTCCAAATAAATATTAGGAATGATTTGTTTAGATCTGTGAGATACATTGATGGTATTTTGATAGGGATTGCATTAAAAATGTATAATGATTTTGGGAGTATGGCCATTTTCATAATGTTGGTTTTCCTATCCAGGAGCAGGGGATATCTTTCCATTTTCTGAAATCCTCTTTGATCACTTTTTTCAGGGTATTGTAATTTTTCTTGTATGGATCTTTTATTTCCTTTGTCAGATTAATTCATAAGCATTTCATTTATTTGGATGGTATTTTGAAGGGTATTGTTTCTCTAGTTTTTCTCTGTGAGTTTGATATCTGTTTAAGGAATGCTATTGATTTTTGGCTTTTGACTTTGTATCCAGCTATGCTACTGAATTTGTTTATTAATTCTAGGAGTTTCTTGGTGGAGATTTTTGGGTCTTCCAAGTAGAGTGTCATGTCATCTGTGAATAATGACAGTGATATAGGGAAACCTCCAAATGACATAGGGAGAAAAATTGATCTTCCAACCTAAAAAGTATCTGGGACAAGTTCATGTTCTCTAAAACCAAAGAATGAATTTTAGGAACAAACGGATGTCATGAGCAGGGAGGGAAAGAAAGCTCCTGTCCAAGAGAGGGACAAGAGGGGGGCCCGAGTGGTAGTTCCTGGGAAGCTGTCTCTTCCAGGGACTTTTTAAAAAAATCTTTATTTATTTATTTTATTTATTTATTTACTTTTTGTGTGTGTGTGTGTGTGTGTGGCCAGCTCAGCCCACCTGGGGGCGGGGCTGGCTGGCATGTGGTGCTGGGGGATTGAACCGCGGTCCCTGTGCTTTGCTGAGCTTGTTCTAAGTAGGTGCTTTAGACCACTGAGCCATCTCACCAGCCCTCCAGGGACTTTTATAGAGGAAAATCGTGCCGTTAAGCAGGTCCAAGGTGGTGGAGAGGACGTGGGAACTTACTTAGGTGGGCATGAGGTGGGACAAAAACTATGGTCAACCAATGAGATTACAAGCACCATTGCTCAGGTAAAATTGAGTCCAGGA